CTTCTATATTTCGTGCTTTATTGATTTATTTTACATGACACCGTTCGATTTGACAAGATCAACATTCAGCCTAAGCACATACCAAGTCTAAGATCTTACTGACATGATTTAGATAGCGGTTAAGCGCCCCCCGATTTTGACAAAAACGGGGGGCGCTTATAGGCATAGATGTTTAGTATGAATTTCACCCAAACTTCGCACATATATAGATATACTCATGATCTAGTCAAATCGGCATACCTGGTAAATATCCGACCCATGGTTTTCATAAAAGAAACGACAATATTTTTAGCTCAAAACTGCCACGTGTCCGCCATTTCGTGATTCCATCATGTCTAATATCATTTCTATGTGACGTCACACCAATAAGACAAAATACGTGACAACAGTATCCATAAACAAAATTCCTAAATTCTGATCGCTAAAGGTCAATTGTAAGGTTAATTGCAGGTATTGTCTAGTGACATCTATCTGACATGAACATACCCTGGCGGTTATATTTCTTCACTCAGGCAAAGAACTATTCTCAGCTTGAGATTCAAACCTTTTTAGAGTGAAAAAATGAAAATTGTAAAAAAAATCTCGATCTCAATTTGAAAGGAGGCATGTTTAATAAAACGGATCTAAAACTATAAGTTACCATGACACACAAAAATGACTTCCCAGAATAAAATTTGTCAACTATGACATCACAACTAAATAACCCTTTTCTAATGTGAAGTCATAAATGCGTTTGATGAATTTACAATTGAGGATTCCTAAAATGTTCCCAATTGAAAAATAAAACTAATTACCAACTTATTACCAACTAATTTACAACTAATTATCAACAATTCTGCTGGCAATTGGAATTAAAGTTAAGCGTTAATTAAATCAATGATAATTATGGCCTAATTATCAGTAGCAAGTTCAACGTAAATTAACTTACAATAATGCTGATTTATGATTTTTAGTTGATAATTAAGATATGAAATGTTTGAGGGTGATAGTAAGTGGTAAATTAAAACGTTTTTGTTCTGAAGTAGATTATTGGTTGATAGTTAACATATAGGATGATTTTAATGATAATTAGTTGTAAATTAGGCCCATGATTTAGAAATACAAACCCCCTAAATTTAATTTCAAGATGGTGGAAAAAGAAAACATGTGAGAGATATTTCTCTCATAAAATTGAGAATTACAACGTAAATGGTGCGTGTACTACCATGAAATTTGGTCAACATTATTATAAGGGTATGTAGAACATGAATACAATGTATGTTAAATCTTATTCACACTTCTGTCTGAAATGTTTATGAATTTAAAAATCTTTTTGAATCAGATCATATAATATTAATCCTAGAATGCAATTTAGGTACTAACATGGGTTACCTATATTTCACAAGTAATCCAAATGTGCTCTTCTAAATACTGATTGTTGGATCAAAGACATTTCAAAGCATATTTTTGATTATATCTGTTACGTCCTTATTATGTAACATTTTAGTCTAATGTTTGTGTTCTGATTTTAGTTGTTGATGGCAATAATGATGTTTTCACATGCTTTTCATGAATCTTAAAAATTTGCAAAATAGAATAGCTTTAAAAAAGAGGGGGAGAAACCCCAGGGTTCAAAGATGACATACGCTTATAATGTAAATCTGTATTGAGATGACATCGTCGCTGATTGGTTTAGCGAGTCGATCGTTGATTGGTTTAAAACTAGGTCAATTTGAAAACTTAACCAAGATGGAGGGTACGTTTTCGACAAAAGGTGTGCGAAGGAGCAAATCGTATGTCATCAATTGAATCATGGGGTTTTCCCTCCTCTTGCTGTGAAATTTCAATAGTTCAAGTTCAATGTTGTCTGTTCTGAAAGATCCTAATTAAGATGAATATTCCGTCACAAAATAGTTCAAGATGAAGCAAAAATCTCTGAGTGAAGGGAAGCAAAAAAGAAGCGAGTCATTTTTGAGATGTCACAAGTCTGACTTAAACCTAACTTTCAACTAATTATCAATAGTAAGTTAGGTGATAATTAGAGATTAACTTACATCAAACTTACAACTAACTTTCAACTAATTTACGTAAATAGCTCATTTGCATATTGATGGTAGTTAATCGTTAATTAAGTTGCAAATTAAGCGTTAATTAAGTTGATAATTAGCTCATTTGCATGTGAATTTTTACACCTAACTTTCAACTAATTATCAATAGTAAGTTAGGTGATAATTGGAGATGATTTTCCATAGGCTTTTTTCAATTGGGTTATTATGATGTCACACAGCAAATAATGCAATGGTTGTTATAGGCTTTATGTTTCATAGCAACATGATATGTGATGTCATACAACACAATTAAAATTGCCTAGTGACAGAAATATTGTTTCTATGGTTAGCACAAACAAAAGCAATTGCGATACAAAACTGTGAGAGAAATTCTTGAAAATTGATCCGCAAAGACATAGATTATACGACTATAACTATAAGTAACTGAATATGCAAAACAAACTACAAGTCATGGGATTAGAAGTGCCATGAGCAAGATCTCCATTTTGAAATCCAAAGAAACAAGACAGCAATGGAGGCGAAGCAATCGTATTGTTCCATATAATGATGCTGAAGTTGAGGAGAAAGTGGAGGAGGTCACAATGGTGATAGACCTGAATGAGATACATGTATATGAATGGCCAGAGATAGACTTTTCAAAATTTGGCAGAAATGGCTTTTACACAAAGGCTGACTGCACAATGGAAACTATCCTGAGTGATGATGTCTCCACTTTATGACCCAAAGTTTTCTCAACCTCAACAGGAAAAAGACAAGCGTCCCCTCCTTCAAAGAGCCCTGCATAGAATTGAAAAGAGAGTAAGTACTAATAAGTATGTCGTGAAAACCCCGATATCAAAAATTATTGGTCATGTACTGACAAATACTATCCAAAGAATTAAACAAACATAAAAATGAATGACAAATACAAATTAAAAACGCTGCTAGGTGGAAAATGACATAAACATTTTGTTTCCAGGCAAGAGAGGCCAAATATGCTGTTTCTGCTGCATTGAGAATGAAATCAGAGAAGTTGGAGAACCAAGACAAAGGTTCCCAGCAGAAAACAAAGGATGACTCTGGCTTTACCTCATTTTAAACACAACTAACTTACAAACAAATCAGAGGGATGATGTACCCTAGTTCTGCAAGTGTGGTGGAGAATATATGCCTTGCATCAACCTTTGGCCTGTGCCATGATGAGCTACAGTGTATGTAGCTATGTAGCGATTAATACTATAGACCCTCTTTTCACTGCTACCCACCTAATTACACAGACGAACGACCAATATCAGTGTAATATTGGCAATATTAATGCCGATCGTCAGTGTAAGAAAAGCGAGGGACTAAATACGTGAATTGTGTCTTTGTTAACATATAAAACCTAAAACCATCGACACATTCTCAAACTAGACTATCTTCCTTAACTTCGAGCCAAATTATTATCCACAACGTGACTTATAAGTAGGTGTAAATCGGGAAATAAAAAAATCTTACCGAAACCTAGTCCCGGAGGAAGTTCCGCCATGATACACCGACGATACGTCTGTGTAATTAGGTGGGTAGCAGTGCTTTTACTCGTTGTATATTTCTAAATGTATACTATGCTCGGGTGTTTTTTAATAATGTTATGTATAAATTATAAATAATAAATTGTAAATACATGTACATAATAAATTGTAAATATCTTCTAATATACACCAAATCTTGTTGTTTTCTTGTATGAGTTCATGAACTGACAAAATCTTAGATAAGTCCAAATATGTTTTCTGTTGCCAAGCAAATGCATCTTAGAATTGACTACTAATTTCACTTGTCTTGCATTTTTAAGGTTTAGCATGGGTTTACATTTTCTATAAATGCTTGGGATGCTGTATATAAATTAAACGACAATTTCAAAATATATAAGCTTACATGTAGGTCGGGGAAAGGTTTTAATTTCATGATTCGTCGCTATACGATCAACTTCACATATATGGGTATATTTTAAGTCCCAAAACGGCTTAGTTTCAGAAATATCACAAATCTAAATTCAAAAATGACCGTTAACTCCACACCAAACGCTCATTCCCGCCGCGCCAAATATTTCAAACGGGCCCATCCTGCATAGGGTGAGAGTTTAAGATGTTTTCATGCAGAAAGTATAGGTAAAAACTCAAAAGTGGCGTGAAAATGTCTTTTAATATACAAATCTGTATGAATATAATATGATAGAAATAATAAAATCATACCATGAAACTCATAAAACGTGTGACTTCTTACATGATTAATAGCCACACTCTTTCTCATTAGCGCATGTGTATATATAGTAGTACCCCTAAGAAACAATTAATTAACTCAATCATTAAAAGCTAGATTCACATCAAAGTTCTCGCAATATCAAATGTGAAATAATTAAATCATGATCTATATGAGCATATTGTGATTTGTTTTGCTTTTCAAAAACTGCCATTTTGTTTCACTTTTATTAGCTTTGATATCCAATGCCTGAGCGGTACCTAAAATAATGGTAATCCCATACAATCCTTGGTCAAATCATTTGTCTTGGTTTATTCACAGTAAGAGGAGGGAAAGCCCCAGAGCTTTAGCGATGACTGACATACGTCTCTTGCGTACCACCTTCGTGTGCGCAAATTATCACCAGTATATAATATTGTCGGACCTGGCCAAAATCTGGTAGTGTGGTTGTGGTCGGGTCACGAACAATTTATTTATTATTGGATTCTCACTGGTCTTATGTGGGCGCAGACCTGGTTTGGTGGTACTGCTTTCACTGAAAGGGACGGTGGTTACACATATGCATACAAAATTCAGATATACAGTTTTTATAATTTATTAACACTATAATTTTGAAAACAAATTAAACACAAATGTCCATGTAATAATTAACTCTGAGTTGTCTTGTTGCTCTTCTCCCGTTGTACTCTACTCTTTATTCTGTTTTGGTTTCGTCTCTGCTATCTGCTGTGCTTTATGTTCGACTCTGTTCTGCTTACTCTTGACTCTGTTTTGCTTTACTCTGTTCTGCCCCTGTTTACTCTTTACTCCGTTCTGCTCTGCTCTGCTTACTCTTTACTCCTCTCTGCTCTGCTTTGCTTACTTTTTACTCCTCTCTGCTCTGCTTACTCTTTACTCCTTTCAGCTCTGCTCTGCTTACTCTTTACTCCTATCTGCCCTGCTAATTCAGGATTCTGCTCTGCTTACTCTTTACTCCTTTCTGCTCTGCTCTGCTTACTCTTTACTCCTATCTGCCCTGCTTACTCAGGATTCTGCTCTGCTTACTCTTTACTCCTATCTGCCCTGCTTACTCAGGATTCTGCTCTGCTTACTCTTTACTCCTATCTGCCCTGCTTATTCAGGATTCTGCTCTGCTTACTCTTTACTCCTTTCCGCTCTGCTCTGCTTACTCTTTACTCCTATCTGCCCTGCTTACTCAGGATTCTGCTCTGCTTACTCTTTACTCCTTTCTGCCCTGCTTACTCTTTATTCCTTTCTGTTCTGCTCTGCTTACTCTTTACTCCTATCTGCTCTGCACTGCTTACTCTTTACTCCTATCTGCAATGCTTACTCAGGATTCTGCTCTGGTTACTCTTTATTCCGCTCTGCTCTGTTTTATTCTCTATTCTGCTCTGGTTACTCAGGATTACTCTTCTTCAGCCCGAGTTACTCTTCTTTACTCTTCGCCGCTCTGCTGTGTTCTCTCCTCTGTTCTGGTTACTCAGGCTTACTCTTCTTCAGCCCGAGTTACTCTTCTTTACTCTTCGCCGCTCTGCTGTGCTCTCTCCTCTGTTCTGGTTACTCAGGATTACTCTTCTTCAGCCCGAGTTACTCTTCTTTACTCCCGACCACGGTTCTTTACTCCTCGTTCTCACAGATTACTCTTAGCTTACTCTCTGGTAGTTCTGCCTAGAGTAACAAGTACTCTAAGCTCACTGGTAGATACTGTAAGGCCAATGAGTAAACGTGATTTAGTCGTCTGTCATCTGCTAAGGTTTTACTCCCGCTATTCTTCTTTACTCCTAGCCACTGCCATTTACTCCTCTGGTCCAGGTTACTCTCCGAACTCACAGATTACTCTTGGCTTACTCTCTGGTAGTTCTGCTTAGAGTAACAAGTACTCTGAGCTCACTGGTAGATACCGTAAGGCCAAGGAGTAAACGTGAGATTAGATTTGAACTACACGTGGACCGGAAGTCATCCAAGATGGCGGAATTACACGTGGACCGGAAGTCATCCAAGATGGCGGAATTACAAAGGATTGTGGGAACTGTATGATGCAACCGCCAACATCAACGCTGAATTACAAAGAATCAAGTTAAAACCTTTCAATTCTATCACAAAAAGGAATTATAAAACTAGATTAACACTCACAAACTCTGATAAACGTCCGCTAAGCGCCTCTAGACTGCAGTCTCCCTAGCAGCTCTCCCTGGACGTCAATAACATCTCTGGCCAAATGGCTAAATATCCACGTGTCACTGTCTGTTTCAGCCACAAACAGTGTGGAATAATCCAATAAACTCCGTCCGTCACTTGGTTAAACTCTATCCTCCTTTTGAGAGTTCAACACTCCTTGAATTGACATCAATTCCACCAGGAAAATCACAATCTTCCATCAACTTCTTGAGCCAGCTTCTGTAAATGACACTACAGGTCCTTACACTTCAACTAGGCCTACTCCAGCCAGACTCACATCAGGTGTTCAGATCATGTGCTATCTCAACCCACTAATGAGATGCATAAGGAAGCGATCTGATTGGCTACAGCTGGACTGAGCTGGTGTGTTTACTCCATTTGGTGATGCATTGTGGGAAATCACCATAGCAATGTCAATCAAGTAGCCTCTAATTCCTGGTGACTCATAACCATGTGGCCTATTTCTCCTATGGGTTGACCAATTCCAGGGCAAGGGTTCCCGCACAAGCAAAGAGTAAGGTTACTCTTACTCTTACTCCCAGCTTACTCCTTGAGTTTATGGTTACTCCTAAGTTACTCTTTGAGATTTGCACTTACTCTTAGTTTACTCTTAGCACATGAAGTGTTACTGACATATAAAAACAAACTTCTTACTTGACCAAAGATTATTACATTTTAATTAAAATAAAAAATAAGTGGGGAATTTCTAAATTTCCCACAATATTCTAACAAAGCGCGTCGTCGTGATGTTTTAATCGATGTCACCATAATCCTGACCTTACATATTTCTTTATCTTAATGTAAAGAAACAAGCTATGATATTGGTTAATACGCCAGAAATCAACATAATATTATTCGAAGCGTTATAAGAAAATTTTGAATCCGCCATTTTTGTTTATCGATTTGGACCAATCAGAGGTGTATGTCATCTCAATACAGGTTTACATTATAAGCGTATGTCATATTTGAACTCTGGTGTTAATCCCCCTCTGTTCACGGTGTTATCAATGTTTACATCTACCATTCCGTTCATTTGAATTTTCCAAAAAATAATTCCGCCAAACAGACAGTGAACCTAATGGTTCGGGCATTAAAAGGCAGTATCACCTCAAAAGGAAAATTAAGTGGTCATTGGTTTCCTCATAAATGTGATTTTTCAACATATCTCACTGATTAAAACTAGTGCTTTATAGTAACATATATGTTACCAATTGTAGGCCTTCGGTTGTTACACTTATCGTTATGGTTAGGGGTACATTTCCTGTTAATGATGTATTCTGGATTCAAAAACCACTGATTACATTCCTGGGTCTAGTTTACCTCCGAGGTCCCTTCCCCATGAAACCTCACGTTCATAAAAGAAACAGTGGGATACTTTCTTTGATTAAAACCATCAAAGAACGGGGTAGATCAATAATTATAGAGTAATTCAATAAAAATGATACGAATTTCAATTAATTTACGTACATTGGCGTCGCAAGGCAAAAGGCATGTGAGGAAATTGCCTCACTAAAATTTTACAGAATATAATTATTAATTTTAGACGTTTTTTTTAAAAAAAACTTTGAAAACAATGTAATATCATTTAATAGTGTTATTCTGATTTTAATTCGAATTTACCTCGTCAAATTTGAGATCTCGGCTGCCCCCCCCCCCTTACGTAAATAGTAAATACAATATGAATATGTGGCATGCTTATTGAACTACCCTGTAGTTCCATCCTGGACTCTCATAAATTAAAACAGACGCATTTAATGTGTTATTTGCTAATGTGTCAAAGTACACAGCAAAGTCGCAGTGATTATGTAGGATTTGCTAAGCTTCATTTGATAATTTTTTACTTGCGACTGGCGGGATGGAGTCATCTTTAACGGTGTTTAGTCTAACAGGACTATGGCGACTAGTGATTATGTTCCAGGCTAATTCAGTGGTGAATGGGGTGAATATAAAACTAGGTCTTTTGCTACCTAGAGAAGGTAAGTTAATCCAACATTGTTTCAGGATTTCACAATGAGCAATCGATAAAAATCTTACAGGTTCTTTTTATAAAGTTTACGTCAGGTAGGTTTATGTGACGTAACCTGTTAGCTTACGTTATGTAAAATTTGAGTTAATTTGTAGAATTTGAGTTAATAGGCCGCAATTTCAATTGTCTGTATATTGAAGAATAAATTGTTAGGAGAAAACTGAAACGTAAAACCAGGGCAATATTTCCATTACAATCCAAAATGATATCTGAAATAGATATACAGGGCGTATAAAAAAACGCAACAAGTAGTTATCTCGTAAAATCACAAAACTAGTGATGACTACATCAATTTCATTTAATGTACCATAAAGCCACGTCTCTCCTCTTTGCAATGATAAGTCATTCATTCACATTTGGTAATGGTTGAGTGAGAAATCCTTCCATTTGCACAGTGGGTCAAAATCGGCTCTGCGCCAAGTTTCAGATATTGAAAAAATCAGTGCAAGGGTTAAGTGCCAATGGAAGTTCCCCTGACTTGGATTGTTGTGACTTTTTCTTTTGGAGCTATCTCAGGAGCATCTGTGCTCACAATTCCTCCTCCAGATATTGCAAAATCTCGAGAAAGATTTTCCCATGGGCTGCTTTTCTTTGCTTTAACCCACACATGATTCAGGGCTGAACCATGCATGACGTAGACAGATGAGTGCATCTTTATGTGCAAGGAAGTGGTGGCAATTTGGAGGGGTATAGGATGTTTTCTTGCAAGAGTATGAGTATGAACACTTTACTGTCTATGCCATACCTGTCACACCTTCTTACAATAGCCCCTATGCCCCTTGTACTGACTTTTGCAATGTTTTAAACTTGGGTCCGAGCTGAAATTTGCTCCACTTTGCAAAATTAATGATTATTCGACCAGAGATGACTCCCTGTGAATGGATGATATTCCATTACAAAGAGGAGTAATTTGGCTTTTGGTACATGGAATTAAGAGGATGCATTCAGCATTGGTTTTATGTTTTCGTCCAATATTGCATCGGGCTCCGTACACTGACTTTTGCAATGTTTATAACTTGGCCCGAAGCTAATTTTGGCCCAGTTTGCAAATGGATTGATTACTCGCCCAACCATGACCAAATATCAATAAATGATATATCATTGTAAAGAGGAGACACATGGCTTTATGGTGCATTGAATGAAATCAATGCTGTTATCACTGGTTTTGTGCTTTTCCAAGATAACAATCTGTTGCGTTTTTTTGATACGCACTGTACAGGGTGGGCCAAAAAATGTTACCGATTGTAAGACTTTTAAAGATTTTTAAGATTCATGATGCAGAAATGTCCGTGTTCATATTAATAAGATTGAAAAAAAGGTAGGTAAGCGAATTAACATAAAACAACTCGTGTTTTTACGAGGCAGTTCTATTTCCAAAACGTTGTAACTTTTGTTTAAGATTGTTTTAGCTTTCGAGAGGCGGGCTTTCATTTTTCAGGGGAACACGAAATCACTCATTTTTTCAACAATTTTCCAAAAATACCAATTTTGTCTAAAACAATGCCAATATTTGTTTTGACCAAATGTGTGCAATATTTTCACACGAACCCACACTCTGTGCAGACGGACATATTTGGTACGGCAGGAATGAGCGTTTCGTGCGGATCCGGTCATTTTTGAATTTGAATTTGTGATATTACTGAAAGTAAGTCGTTTTGGGTCTTCAAATATACCCATATATGTGAGGTTGACACCTTATATCAGAGGCACCTGGGAAAGCACGAAATTAACTTTACAATTGCTTGTGTTCTAGGATTACAGGGCTATTTGGGTTTTGAGACAAATGCAGCCGCGACAACAATGGCCATCGACAAATGCAGATCCGATGGACTGATGGACGGGCACAATATCACGTAAGGCTTAGATTTTCTAATGATTCCTTTATTTTAGGGCTACAAAGTTATATAGGCTATGAAACGAACGCTGCAGCAGCGACGATGGCATTGGAACAGTGTGCCAAGGACGGTCTCCTCGAAGGGCATAATATCACGTAAGATGAAGTTAACTTTGATTGGACCAACCTTCGAGCACGTGGGTATTACATGTACGTGAGAAGTGAATACATACTATGATCCCATTCTAGAAGGATGTCCATGATTCAATAAGCACAATAAAAATACATACCTATAATATGACGAATTTTTAAAAGATACATTTGACACTTTGATGACATTCCCTAGATATCCTGTTAAATGCACAATTAGATGGAACCTAAAGTAAAGTGATGTATGTTCTTTAAGTTGGCCATCATCTTAAGGTCAGGGTGCATGATGGGAAATTTTCTGCATTCCTCAATTGAGTCACATGTTATTTTTCAAACAAGAATCACTCCTTCCCCACATTGTCTATATCTTCCAGTTTTGCACAAAGAGTGCACTTATGTGCCTAGATAAGACTTGTGAGAAGAATGTTTTGATAAAGTGTATAAAAAACAAGAAAATTCAGTGAAAAAAATCAGAAAATTTTCAGAAATTTTTTTCACTGAATTTTCTCAACATGCACCCTGTCCTTAATTTAGGATTTTGTATCGAGACACAAAATGCACGGAGAAATACGGACTCGGGATGGCAGTTGAGTTGTACATGGATGAACACGTTGATGCCTTCATTGGACCTGCTTGCTCGGAAGGTAAGGTTTTTGAATCATGTCGACCTTCATGTAAGTTCACTATTGGCAGTTGTATGGTTATTGTTTCTTTTTTGCCAGGGCCAGAGGAATGATAGGCTAAGAGAAACGGTAAAAAGTGATTCAATCTGACGCCAAATTAAATTAGTTTGTTCAATACGTTTTTTGTGTAGATTCTTCGTAACTTTTGAGTACCCCCTTCAATATTTTACATAACTAATTGCTTTTCTTGAGTTCAGTTCTGTTTGATTCCAGCGACGATACCAGTCGGCCATCTTGCTGCCTTCTGGAACGTTCCATTATTCGCACACGCATCCAGTGACCCGAGCCTGGCAGACAAAGTGCGATTTAACACTGTTGTTAGGGTACTGCCACCATACAACAAGATGGGGAGTGCATTTGTTGAACTTTTCAAATATTATGGTTGGAACCGATGTGTCATGTTGTACACAAGAACATACAACATGATCAGCTTTGCAGCCAGGTAGGTTACGCATGCGCAGACCGAATACGAACTGTGAAAGTGGGCCTAGTTCCGCATTTTTAGAAAAAATGAAAAAGAAATCTACCACTGATGCCATCTTTATATAAGCCTAAACCTATGCTTTTTGATGATATAGATCCGTTGAGAAAAAGTTCCGAGAGAACAACGTCACCCTCGCCGATACCATCGATGTGGAGGTGGTATCTAATAGCGATATTGATGGAGCACTAGAAAGATTCCAGCATAGGGGCCGAAGTTAGTTTTGCACTTTACATATCCAAATGAATAAATATAAAATAATGAAATGAAAATAATAAATGGTGCACTAAATATTCAGGTTGATAGAAAATTTCAAAATGGTTAAAATACTAGCATACGTGTTGCATAAAGACAAAGCAATATTAAACTGATTGAATTTGAGTTCGGGCCTTCGTGCAAAATTAGCTTATTTGTCAAATTAATGAAGGCGCCCTTGTCTAAAATTATAATGAAGCATCGGATGCAATCCTATTTCACAAAACTGAGGAATACCCCAGAATCCATAGATCAACTTATTTGCAGAACTTCTTCATCTTTACACAAACATATGTTCAGGGTATTTCCTCCTGTTCATCTTTCCTTTAAAGGGACCCAACACCTTACAAAACTTCTTAACGGAAAGGAATAAGGGAAAATGCTTGCCGGATTCTGAATCTGTGTATTTTTTAATGATTTTTCACCGTCTTAGAATTTGCATTGTTTTCCAATTAGAAAAATGAGTAAACATGAATAGCTCGAAATCTAACCGTGAGATTTTGTTTTAAAAAATCATGGATATCAAGGTTAAATATAGCTATACAATAAACATAAAAAAGCAATGCTTGGACTCTTCATATTCACACAAAAAATTAATTAGTAAATGAGGTTTGATATTTGTGAGAATAAGTTGTACGAGTCGCAATGCTCTACAAACACCAGACTACAGGGTGGATTAGGATCAATGACACACATAAGAATTAATTTAAAAATATTTCATGATAATTATCTCAAACAAAAGCAGTTAGCGAAGGATACATTTCATTACACTCAATAAATAGTTATCACTTTTGACTATATATACATATCTCATGGGAGTGTATTTCCATCTGCTCAAGATATCATATTTTAGCTTCGAAAATCACAATCGTTGGATAATACATTTGTCTCAGAATGATAGGCCACCCTGTAGCAATGTAGCTTTCACTTGAAGTGTACCCTTGATAATAATGAACTTACTTTCAAATTGGTCTTGCTTTTGTGGTGTATGTGGCTTTTTAGCAAATCTGCCACGCTCATTTCTTTCCAGAACCATCTTGTTCACATGTAACACTAGGCTATACGCGCATGTATAGACAGATGACATAGATATACATATAAATTATATATTGCACCTATATTTACTTACATGGGAATATTCCCTTTGGAAAAATGCAAATGCATGAACATATATTTTCATCTTATATATGACTTCAAGCTAACATATTATTTCATATTTATATTTTCATAGTTAGTCTAACATAAATAATAGATCCATGAGAACAATATTCTTTGTTTTCTTAAAAATTGATGGGTTTACTGTGAATTCAATAAATTACAATTTGCAAGGGGTAAGTATACTGTATGACCTTAGTTGCAAAGTACTGTTTATATATGCAGCTCAACAGCATAAAATATGTTGAATGAAGCATATGGTATGGATTAGTCGTGTGACACACAAACTGACCAATACATGAGGGTATTAGCTACTTTTCACAGAAACCAAAGGAGGACAGTGCTTTTATTTCAACTGGGAGCTTACCTCCACACGACTGATCATGTGACCATGGTGGTGGGTCCCTTTAAGTCACTATTATCAAAAATTATAATAATGCTTCAAATACAACATTCCACAAGACTGAGGAATACCCCAGAACCTCATCTTTACATAAAGATATGAGAAGTTCGTCAAAGAATTCTGGGGGATCTCCTCCTCTTCTTCTTTCCTTCTAGTCATCATTGTGCTCCTTGAGGCTGATGATATCCGGCGTGTCATGGTCCGCGCGAGGAAGATGGGAATGACAAACGGACAGTACGTGTTTGTTAGTTCTCTCAACATAGGTAAGCTTTTGCCCTAAAATGGGCTCTTTGATAATAGACCCTTTTTCAAAAATGCGCCTCGTTTCTAAGGAAACATGCCTATATGAAATATTGTAAGTCTAAATGTTTTTCTCCCTCCGAACCGAGTTCTTATCTAGGGACAGTACCGATACAGGGTGGGCAATAAAAAATGGGACATTTTTATCGCATGGGAATTCAATGAGGTTTAACGTAGTCATAAAATTGAGATTTGCCCAATTCACTAAATACTAACAATGAAGAAATCATGCATGAAACTTCTAGGCTGATACTATACAAATGATGTTCAATGTGCCTTCTTTAATACTGGACCTAGAAAAAGCACATAAAAACGTAAAATATTCTGAAATTTCAAACGCTGTTAGGCCACGTGTCTTGTGGCAAGCAAAGGCATTCGTTCAGTGTTTGACTTAAAATTCTAATCATACACTCATCAACGTTATACTCCATAACGTTCATGACATTTAGTTCAAGTGTGTCCCATTTTGTCCCGCTTTGTATATTTGTTTAATATAGTATTGCATGAAACCTCTAAGCTGATACTGTTGGGGTTTTCTTTAATTCATGAACACTCGTGAACATGATATAGAGGCCATTCTTGCTTTTGCTTCCCCGTTGTTCAATTAACAAAACAGAAATATTCTAGGGGTTTTGATTCATTATTTTGTGTCCTTGGGAAATACATACTTGTAAGACTAGAGCTACACGCCTCTAGATACATACATACATACATGACCTTCGCCACTTTGCATTTTCGAAAAACATTTTGTCTTTTTAAATGTTCTGTTATTAGTCCCCATTGACGAGATACGACAACCCTGGGTGGCTAATAATTCATACGATGCAGAAGCTAAGGAAGCGTTCCAGTCTTTGATTCACGTAAGAAAGAACGTTGTTAACATAAAGGGGTTATGACCTTATTATCATGTTGCTTTTAGCTCTTAGAATGCAATCACCCATTGTCTATCTGTCCGTCTGTCTGAATTTATTTAGGTGTAAAGATTGTATGCCTCTATTGCTCTTTAAAGGAATATTCCTTGTCAGACCCTTTCTCTCTTGATATGGTAGCTATAATCATATATATAGTTTCCATATTTAGCAAAACATGGGAAAATGTTTTAATATGGTCAATATTGATCATTTAAAAATCTAGTGCTTATTTCCAGTGAGCTGCCATCTTTTAAGATTTCTTGCAGGAAGTGATGTCATCAACTCTCAACTTCTATAACCTTGCCCATAACAGTATAGGAAAGTAGCACAAAATCACTTCTAGACAAGTGATCATTACTTTCTGTGCAAAAATATTTTCAGGGCATGTCAACTTAGAATAAAAGAAGAGATTTTCAGAAGGATTAAATAAGATACAAAGTTGAAAAAGAATATTTAGCTGGTTTTGTAATTCTTAATAGCTCCTCACCTAATGCTATATGCAAAGTTGAGAGTTGATGACATCACTTCCTGTGTGAACTTTTAAAAGATGGCAGCTTACTGGAATTGAGCATCACATTTCTAAGTGATCAAATTTGACCATATCAAAACATTTTTGCGTGTTTTGCTAAAGATGGCAAGCATATATATGGTTATAGCTACCATATGAGGAGAGATGTGGTTTGGCAAGGAATATTCCTTTAACAAAACATGTGGGGCAGTGTATTTATATATTACAAGATGTCTGTCCATCCGTCTGTCAACACATTGGAGGCTCATATGACAATTCAAATGACGTAGAGATGACGATTCATAAGAATACCACATGTATGGACGTATAGAGCTGCGCAATAAATGAGGACGGAATAAAAGCATAAGTTATACGTTATACGGGATTCAAACATGAACGTGCTCTAATTGAATTTCGTTGGACAGAATGTCAGTACAAATGCACCCACCTTCGGTCCGTGCCTTGTGCGGCATTCTGTTCAACGCATGCTGAATTTCACCATATTGAATGGCCTATCATTGTTTATGCCTTAAACAATAAACATGAAATGAGTTGCAAAATCTCTCTCTTGATATAGTCATATAATTAAGATATAGTCATATAACTAAGATATAGTCATATAATTAAGGAGAGGGTCATGCAACTCCATTAAAAGTAGTGTGGGTAAACTTCATCGGGTATATTACTTATCAGGAAAATGTTGAATCTTCATTAAAAATACTCAAAGAGTAATATGTGGGTAATATGTAATCCTACTGGTGTAGTGTCTAAATATGCCTTCCACAAAAGTTTTTGTACATTAATGGGATCCAATACATTGTAATAATGCACAATTGTGGTGCCTTTGGGTATAACCTTGCTTGCATTTTTGGGATCTTGTCCTAAACGGGACTCGTGTTCTTGCTTGAATTGTAAGTGATATTGCCACCGTCCGGTAGGTGGCACTCCAAGCATTTCTATCAAAGCGCCAATGTATGTATCATCCGGAAAACATAATGGGACTTTACATAGTAAGAAATTAATATCTTGTATTACTGATTGGCTGAAGAGTATACCACCGCCTTGGATATAGGTCGGGTAATATATATTCCATTTTACAGGACTCAAAAGTTTTGATTTACCAGCACGAGCACTGTGGCACCATGATAAAGTCTTGTGACATTTAGATTGGATGTTTTGTCCAGAAAGTGAACAACTTCTGTGAGGTTTATGAAAACATCATGTGTAATCCGAAAAACATACTTTGCTTTTGGACAATATAACTGAATCCATTTAAAACCAAAAGCATCTTTTTCTGTCATTTTTCTATAGTCATCGGAAAAGTTTCCAACTAAAAGATCTCCGTTCGTCACATTCGATAACGTTTGATTGAGTTTATCACCATATATGAATATGGTACGAATCTGCCAGCTTCCAAACTTTTTTACTGAGGCGAATGTTTCCCTTATTGCATCCCGCATACGCTTACCTGGAATTAAAAGGTCGAATATTGTAGCCATGTTAAAAAATGCAAAATAGCATTCATAAGCATGTTTTATAATTCAACATCATATGGTTTTCGATGTTTTCTTTGAACTTATCTTGGGAGATTTTTGAAGTAATTTTACATGATAAAGTATACAATTAAACCCATTGATTTCTTCGCCATCTATTGACAGTCCATTGGACCATAAGGGGCCACCTTTGGACCACTCTAGATATGGTATATACTTACCGGATATATCACTCATAACAAGAAACAGGAGTAGATTTTCCTCATCTGGCACGTCACAAATGTCCTCTCTCGGCCATTTTAAGACGTTATGATTATCAAGCATAGTATTGGTCCAATTTAAATGATAAAACTCAGGCGGAACATTCGACCATGCGCCACGTGGTTTTAATCTAGGTGCCGTTTGGGTTTTGTCAATGTTAGCGCATTGTAATGAATCCCAAATTTCGTGTTTTGAGAGTTCAGCGTGCTGTGATGATGCCCCGAAAACTGAGCTTATGAAAGATTTCCCAGGTGAAAATGCTTCTTTTATTAATGTTCCTCGTTGTCCATTCATTGGATATTTTACTAATTTTCCTCGTTTTATGAGAATGTCCATTGATAACAAACATGCCATTAGAAATCCTACAGCAAAGATACATTGCACGACTTTTTTCATACCAGGTATTTGTTAATAAGATTAGCTGCAAGTAATGAAGTTGTCTCAGTTATTCCAATTTTATGATTTTGCTTGTTCACATATGTCGTGTCAATCTTTATGCCTCTTTTGACAAAAACACGTTCGGTATGTTGTGTCAATTATATCTAGTAATAGAGGTATAAGCAATTGAATAAGTCTACTTTTTGTATTGTATTTTTATTTCGCCCAATACTATATAAGCAGCGTTTTCACTTATTTAACATTTTTTAAGTATTAGAAAATCCAATAGAGACTCAATAGAATTGAAAATAAAATATTGGATACAATAACGAAATAGAGTGATATTGACATGTACTGTAGAAAAATTGTGAATTCCTTCTTGAACACACGAATTGATGTTTATTTCTCTGTACTTCCCATTTAAAATGAAGTACAGACATTATGGCAAAATGGGCATTCATAATCACCATATATCATTTGATCGAACCATTTCAATATGGATAGGGTACCGGGCGAGAAACTGTGACAAAAAATCAGATAAGAATAAACCACAAATGTACGCAGTAAAGTAAGTACCATTCTTTGGATATAATCGGAAAGAAAATATGCGGACTTGTCACCGTTTCACATCCTGTACCGTATCCATATGGTTAAGTTCCGTTAATTTCGTACAGGGTAATAATATACATTTCGTGTATTATAAATATGAAAAATGCGCATTCGCAAAATAAATCGTCGTTTATTATGTTTATTTTATCCATCAGTTTTGATGAGTACATAGTATGAGAGTATAATTTAGTACGACAACATTTATACAATATTTATGTAGTTTTGTAATTTACAATTTTTATCTATATACAGTTATAAGATGTCAGAAAGTTGCATTCTAATATACACGTGTAAGTAACAATAACATGCTAGGTATTCACCGCATTGGGTTAAGATCATACATTTTTTTGTTACATTAACGTATCCTCTTTCGGTCGCATATTATACATTTTATAAACACTTTGTGCTATCCTTATAAGACCCTCGCAGTCTAAAATCTGTCCCTCGTCAAAAATAAAGTTCAACTTCTGCTGATTTGTACATGTAGTGTCAGTCAGACCATATTCTCTCATTATATCCAGAAGAGGGGTTCGTTCCACATTTTAAGGCTCACATTCAAGCAGCATGTGAGATAACGTTTCAATTTCACATTTGCACATTTTGCATAGTCGTTCATTGGTTGGGGTATTTTTCCAGCGACCTATATTCACTTGAAGATTTCCTTCACCTGTCATTAACATAACCATCAGCAGAGAGAATTTGACAAGTCTGGGATATTTTCGGGCCATGATCCACCATGATATTGGTTTCACCTCGATCACTATATTTGAGTATAGGCTGAGTTTTCTATATGTTAATAGTTTAATGTGCCATTCGTTCAGATGGAACTCTTTGAGTGTTTGCGTTACAGTTCTTTTCCAAAGCATTTTACTTGGTATTCTTGCAGTTCTAATCATTTGCACTACATTTGCATATAGTATATATTTAATGCATGTTTTCATTATGTCACGTAACGGTGATTGCACATTTGTATTATTGTCACATATTTGAACTATGCGCATAATGGTTATGCGTCGGTATACGCTCCAAATGGGTAGTGCCAGAAGATTCCATATGAACATTAATTTCATGAAGCTCACCCTGTACCTAATGTTGTTCCAGCCTAGCTGAGCAAGAACTGCTGAGTCACTTGTATTGATTGGTAGTCCTTGACATTTTTTGGCAATCGTTTTATGACTAGCCTCTAGTTTGTTATAGTCACTATCAGACAGAGGGACGATTTCTAAAACATATAGCATTGATGGAATAGCTATTGACCAGTACTGTATATTTTCGAAGTAGTGAGGGGGTTTGCCGGATTCATAGTACTCGATGTCACTCCAACATAGGCATTAACCGTTCTCCGTCCTTTGGCTATTCTGTCATCAATGAACTGTCCATATGTACCTGATGAACAAAGTGGAAGTCCTAGATGTTCCATTTGGGTCACTATCGGTATCTGCGCTCCACCTATCGACAACGTTCCTTCTAGCCCAGTGGACCTTCCTCTACTGAAGTATACAGCCTTGCACTTATTTGGGTGGAGTCTGAATCTCCATCTCAGGCTGTACTGGTAAATAATGCTTAGGAGCTTCTGCATGACAGGCATGTGGTATGCAATGAGTATAGTGTCATCCGCATAAGTTGGAATTGTGGTTTGGATTCCACCAATTGAGCATCCTAGGCCACTGTCACAAATCTCACGGATAAGCCCATTAGTATATTTCGCATACAGCTCCATGCTGTAAATTCCTCCCTGATGAACTGATTGCTCCACTACGAAGGGTTCAGACTTACAGACTTGCTCCCACTTACACGTATCGAACACGTATATCCTTCGTACGCATTTTTAACAGCCTCCAAAGCTTTCCCCGGATACCCTGTTCGTACATCTTGAAGAGTAGCCCATTATGATATACCCCATCGAAAGCTTTCTGGATATCTAATCCCACAATTATGACGTCATTGCCTCTTTCGAGTCCAGTAGCGATGGCTTCTCTTGTTATTAATGACGTATGAAGACTGGAACATCCTTTTCTATTAACTCCCTGTTAATCATGCTTGGGGCGGTGAATTCCAAGACTCTGGCATTCCTGGTCTCTCTTGGCCATAAGACCCTCTAAGAGCTTCATATACGTGCACATGAGTGTGATGCCTCGATGGTGGTCCTTGCAAAGTATGTCCTTATCACCCCCTTTAAAAAGTGGTATCAACACTCCCGTTTTAAAACTCTGGGGGATGTATTCCGTTAAAACGATGTATTTAAACAATATGGTTAATATACTCATTAGCTTGACTCCTCCATATTTAATGTGTTCGGCACTGATATCATCCCATCCTGGGGCTTTGTTACTAGACAGATTATTACAAAGTGACGTCATTTCATGCTCAGTTATTTCATCTTTAAAGGCAGTATCCTCATTTAATACACTGGAAGAAAGCATTCTATTAACCTCTTGGTCTATATGTACCCTAAACGCCTGATCGAAACACTCATTTTCATTAAATTTCACAAGACCAGCAAAATAGTTCCTCCATTCTTCCCTTATGTCGGCTGGATCAGTCAGAACATGCCCCTCATCGCTTCTAATGTAAAGTGGGGTCGGTTTGGTTTTCCTTCTTTTGTTCACTATAGACCAGAATAAATTCATAGAAATCTCAGAGGCGGAATCAATCTCTTCTTGCATTTGTATTTGGTACTCGTATTCTGCACGCCGAAACTCTCTCTGGAATTCTTTTTTCGCTTGTCTATATTTCCGGCATATCTCATTTTCATTATTCCTTGGTTTTCCTGCATCTTTCCAATCTTTCCAACTTGATTTATTTTTCTTAACTAGGTCTTTTAAGAGTGTTGACCAGTATGGCTTTAAATACCCTTTGAAACATGTTCGAGGAATAGTTGAAAAAGCAGCTCTCTTCAGAATCTGAGTTAATTTCTCAAAGAAAATGTCTAAATCTAGCTTTGACAGTCCGTCTTTAACACTGTTGATTTCATTATATAACTCTTCTAGTTTGGGATCCAAAAGAGTTCTATATGCAGATTTATTCTCCTCCGTTGCTTTATTCCAGGATAACTTACTTGTGATCTTTTCTTTTTCACCTTTTAGGTGTACACTCTCATGAACAAGGGATAAATGAACACATATCGGTAGATGGTCTGACGTGTTGATTAGAGATTCCTCCATAATTGCTACTTTCGTGCATTTACTGAATAGACTCGCAGATACTATACAGTGGTCTATATATGAATACCCAGTATATTGGCGGTGAAAAGAATACGTAGGACCAGTACATATTGGAGTAAGATCTGCTACCTTAAGACCTTGTCTAATGCACATGTTATTAAAGGCTATACCATTACAAGATGGCGGATACGCGCCTCTTACATTATGAATATTACCTAAATCTGAATTAACATCGCCAATTATTAGAACTTCGCCGTCACTTTGTAACTGAATTACAATTTCCTCTAGAATATCTAACCATTCTCTAAAACTAGCTTTTACACATCCCTGGTAAGGTAGATAAACACATAGGACATATAGAGTTGTATCAGACAAACGTATTTTAATTCCCATTATACGCTCCATTTTGAAATTAGGCATCTTTTGCACAAAACTGCACATGGATTTTCTCCACATGATAGCAATACCCCCATTCCCTAGAGTGTACCCTTGATCAAAGGGATCAAGGGACTTACTACAACTCATGTCACATATGAATTCATTATTTACCTCTAAATGACTTTGCATTGAACTGTTTAACCAATGTTCGCTAATACATATTACATCATTTACATCAGTCAATTGCTTTAAGGAACGGTTTTGATGAAAATAAGCCATTCGCATTCCATCCACAAATTCTGATATTACTATTCATATCATTCATAATTATTAGACATATTTGTGTGCAGGTCTCTATAATGCACACGCTCGTATTCCTTGCTTGAGTATATAATATATATATATAAGTCATCATGATCAAGGTCTACATCAAACCTTGGGGCATTATTATGGCCCCTACGTTTTACCCACTCCCTGCACTTAATCGGGTTTGGCCATGTTTGATCGAGTTGGGCACGGTGGGCAGATGAGATGGGCACAACTATTTTACAGCCTACACTAAAACGTGACACTTTGTTATGTATGACGTAGCACTGCATAATACGTATGTTCATTGATGTGGCATGTGCAATTACCTGACGTTTAATGTCAGAATCACTTTCACCATCATGTATCTCAATATTTTCGACATAAAGCATGTAACCTTTCTCATGACTGACTCCACTTAGAGATCTTGTGAGTCCCTTTGGTATTAAGGCTTCCTTAGATGAGGCGTTGTTGGTATTAGAAGGCCGTTTTCTTCGTCGAACAACGTCCGCATATGTTTCATCTGTGGACGATGGTTGGCTGGCTCCTATAACCTCGATGCATCGAGGCGACGTAGTGTGGGGCTCCTTTGGTTGTTTCTCTATGGGTTTGCTGTTTTGTGTATTGTCTTGTCGGGAAAATTCACTAGTTTTCCTTGTACCAGGTTCGCGGGGCTCTGGTGCGGAGAATAAAAACAACAGCTTAATCTTTTATGACATGACTGTGACCCGGTTTTGGCCAATCATGCAGCATCAATCATGCAATCATGACAGTGATATACAGATATCCAATTCCACATCATTCAATATTTACGTATCATCTAGTGGGTTGTTTTAGCGCTGGAATATTGATTTTTAATTAAGATTTTTTAACTTAGAAGCGTATAAAAGTTCTAGTATGAATGAATTAGTATGTATCATTGTTTTAAATGTGACGCACCTATTTTAATGTGCCGCCTATTCTAAAGAAAAGTTAATATAATTTCAATTTATTGAACAAATACTTCGCTCTACTGAGGTGAATACCCGTGCATCTTTCACAAATGATATTCCACGAAGCCCTGGGGGCTAGTGAAATATCATTATCTTGTGAAAGAGTCACAGGTAGTATTCACCGAAAGTAATGTCTGATGTAATAAGAAAACCAAAGTATTCATCGGAATAGACATGTTTATACTGTGAGAGAGCACCAATGCAATGCAATGCGACTGAATATGTTTGAATCACGAAGATGGCCGAAGATGCTTCAAAGAAACCAATCAAATTCCTTGAAGCATCTTCAGCCATCTTCGTTAGAGCTAAAATCATCTTCGGCAATCTTCGGTTGCGATACAATCATCTTCGGCCATCTTCGTTAGTGGTAAAATCATCTTCGGCCATCTTCGTTAGTGGTAAAATCATCTTCGGCAATCATCGGTCGTGAGTCATCTACGTTATATATTTTATTATTAGATCACAGTTGCCACTGTAAAGAGTGACAGGGCGGATGCATTCCGTGCAGAGATTCCATACAGAATGGCAGAACCACCTTGGAACTTCAACAGAACAGAGCTGGATGGAACAACGGTAACCTAATAGTATATTACTATACTCTAATTGGTCAAATTGTATATTAATTTTCAAAAACTTCCTAGTAATTTTCAAAAACTTCCTAGTAATTTTCAAAAACTTCCTAGTAGTCAATTTTGAATAATATATATGAATATAATACAGAGTGATGTTGGTAATAAAATGCAGCACTGTTCAATTTTACCTATATATAAAGTAATGCAGTTTTTCATCAGCTTTAATCTTTCTTGTTGCAGAACTGGGGGCAGGTGAAATATCAGGTATTTAGAATTTAAGTATACAGGCCTGAGGGTGAACCGAAAACGTTCGTATTTTTCATTTTAAGATTCAAGTTTACTTATCTAATAAGACATTTGGTCTTTCACTCTTTGGCTCTTGGATTTACTAAGTAGATATTTTTAATATAGCAAAATAAAAAATATGAACGTTTTATTGAGTTACCTAATACTCTTAATTATGAATGTTGACGTTCCGTAATGTATGGACCATGAGTACTGGCTGTAAGGATGAAAAAATGACCGAGGCCCAAAGGCAATTTTTGTTTATTGCTACCTAATGTGTGTTTTATTAATTATTTTGAATTCAGTTTGATTTTATAGAAATAGTTGCAAAATAATATATTATATATAAATCGGATATAAACAATTTAATACTTTATCTATTTTCTATAGGGGTCAGTATTTTCTCTGTTCTTGTACGACACTGTTTACCTGTACTGTCTTGCACTGAACTACACTTCCAGTATGGGAATGGATAACATGTCCGGGAAAATTATGATGGACGTCGTTCCAAAGCTACAGTTTGATGGTATGTCATCCATGTGCCCCCAATCCACATACTTATGGTGTCTTAGAATCTGAAGTATTTCAGCAATTTTGATTTGTCGAAAATGTTGTTGCCATAGCAACGACAAATGGCGCTACCTTTTCTTGCGGCCCAGCCCACATAGTAAGAGTGAAACCTTCATGTTTACCATGGGTATGAAGAAATTTCTCCAAGCTTCTGTAGTTACTATAGATCATTCTGATTTTGGAAAACTAATAAAATCCTGGCTTTAATTTACAGGTATGAGTGGTCGGGTCATTATGGACGACCAGGCTGAGAGAGAGTCAGACTATTGGGTTTGGCATTTACCACCGCATAAGGATGAATATGAATACTACGCAGAGATCAAGAATACAAACAAGGAGGGGGAAGAGGTATATTTGATATGATACTGCGACCAATGTAACCCCATTCCAATAAGGGCAAACCACCAATAGAGGAATTTCTATATAGTCAAAAAGATTTAGGAGATTTGCACACAAAACCTTTAATGACTTACTATTCCTTCTTCCTTAATAACATATATATAAATTGGTCGCAGTATCATATATACATTCAGTGAAAAGTTTCTGCAATAATAACTTATACAGTTATGTCATTTAAATCATTTTCCACTACTTTTTCAACATTTCTAAAAAATAAAATATGGGCCAAATCTCGATTAAGTTTATGACGAATGTCCGCTCTGGAAGTTCAATATTTCTGTATGCTCTTAGAGTACTTTATACTGATATTATGTTTATGGTGGTCATGATTATCCTTGAAGCCCCTATTACTGTAGTTCCCTAGGAAAGTCGTAGTACCATAGAGTACACAAAGAATGGCGAACTTTTTGAACACACGTTTCTCTTAAACCAGACACCAAAAATTTCTGTTAGGTCTCTCAATATTGTAATTGTACAAAGGAAATTTTGGTTGATTTTAAAAAAGTATCTTGTTAATGAAATAAAAGGTTTTTCTTGATTTTTATCTATTTTGGGGGGATTTTGTTTTAATTTTTTGAATACTTTTTAAAATCAACCAAAAATTCCTTTGTATAACTATAATATTGAGAGGTCTAAAAACATGTTGTATATGCTATTTTGTTCCAACAAGGTTCGAAAAGACATTTTATTTCATTCTCAAGAATTGGTAGAAAGGAGCAAAAACAATTGCACTAAAAAACAAAAAAATGTTAACAATAACAGTTATATAAAATATTTCTAAATAATTTTTGCATTAAATCGTTGTCAATCAGTCAACATTACAGCAGGAGATCCAAGACGTCATTTCCATTGTTCTCTGCATATTTCGCGTAGTAATCTACGGTGATTAGCCCGCGCGATTTTCGCATGAATGAACGTCATGGTTGATGCACCCATTTTTACACGACGGTATCTCCCTCGTCTTTTATCGGTTTCCCACAAAATAAACGGTTTTGAAAAGCTTATATCAAGTAGTTTCAGACGGTCTTTCTCATTCTTTAATTTCATTCAAAGTCTGGTCTCAATAATCAAAATCGCAATTGTGATATTTTTATAGAAAACGCAAAAATGTGTACTGCTTTCAAGCCTTACGGATAAATCGTTAACGGCGGCCTTCACAAACAATTAGTTCAGCACTATTTAGCTCAAATCTAGACGATTTCAATGGTGTTATTCTTTTTTACCAACCCTGGGGGAGATGGGTTTCTGCCAATTTTTAGTGCGACCAAGTGTTTTTTAGAGCCATTTATTTCACCATTTAACGTCACATATTCCGGATTGTAGCGTGACTGAACTTTATTGGACGGATGTACCCATCTTTACACGATGATATCGCGCTCGTCTTTTATCGGTTTCCCACAAGGTAAACAGTTTTGAAAAACGTATATCAAGTAGTTTCAGACGGTCTTTCTCATTTTTAAATTATATTCAAGGTCTGGTCTCAATAATCAAAATCGCAATTGTGATATTTTCATAGAAAACGCAAAAATGTGTACTGTTTTCAAGCCTTACGGATAAATCGTTAACGGCGGCCTTCACAAATAATTAATTCAGCACTATTTAGCTCAAATCTAGACGATTTCAATGGTGTTATTCTTTTTTACCAACCCTGGGGGAGATGGGTTTCTGCCAATTTTTAGTGCAAGTGTCTTTTAGCCATTTATTTCATCATTTAACGTCACATAATACCAGATTGTCGCGTGACTGAACTTCCTGGGAGATGCACCCATTTTTACATGATATTAGAGCACTCGTCTTTTATCGGTTTCCCACAAAGTAAACTGCACTGCAAAGCTTATATTAAGAAATTTCAGAAGGTTATTCTCATTATCTTATCTAATATATACATTATATTGAAGGTAGAGTCTCCGCCATAATTAAAATCGCATCTTAGTGCATTTTAGTGCGACCAATTCTAATTTAAGTTCACTTCCATTTCTTTCATTTTACGTGTCGCCGGCAACTTTCATAAAGAAATATGAATGGATATGCAGCCGTTTTACACGATGTATGATATCTTGCTAACCTTTCAAGCCTTGCGAACACATTGTGACGATCGGATTAAAAAAATTATTGTATATTATTATTGTGTTTACATGCCCCTGTTTTATATCCGAACTGTATTTCATGAAATAAGTAGTTTAAGTAAGTTAATTTTATATTTCATTGTTCATTAAATGTCGCGTGAATAAGAAAAAACGACAGAAACAAAAAGAACACTCAAAAATGTGATTTCTTCTAAAATGGCATGGACTGGTGAAAGTGATGATCAACTTTTTTAGCGTGTAATGTCCAAATTTTCTTATTTATTTTCGCCAACTATTGAATGTGCGATAAAAGTCATAGAGATGTTCACGGCTTTCGTCAATTAGCTTCAGCGATAATTGTTTTAAGATCAAGATTAAGAACTCGGATCCCCACTAGATTGGACTGTATTTTTCACATTAGCCCTTTGTGCAGAATTTCATTCCCGGTTTTCATTAACTAATTAAATGGATAAATCAATGATTCCTGTCTTTCAAAACCGATTGGATAAATTGGTAAATAATACATATAATTTGCATATCCATCCATTTGCCAGTACTATTCTAATAATGTGACAGTTAAATGAAATAAAAAAAAGATTCTGAAATTATTATGGATCCCTGGGTATAGATCATGTGAATTGACAAATAAAAATCTGTGTAGAGCGAAAGTAAAAATATTTATTTATCCAATTCAAATATGGCAGCACTGGACATATCTTATTCAATACATATAGGCCTAATTGATAAGGATAGATATAAAATTGAAACATCATACTGTGACTGTGCACACTTGCCAAGAACTAAAAATATGATTGGAACTTCTTTAAAAAATGTAAACTAGTTATACAAACTTCGATGGGAGATGTGTTCTCAGAATATACAGTAAAATATATTTTAACCCAAAGCATAATTAAATGTACTATCATATACAGGTAGAGTTCAACATAAAAAATATATATATGTTGAGTTTTTTCACATTGATCAACATTTACTTCAAGGTTTATAATAACAGTTTTATTTTGACCATTATGCCTACATTTAATATTTTTCAAATACAGTAGAACCTGTATATCTGAACACTTGGCTAATCTGAACACCTTCCAATTTGAACACTTTTTTCGGTCCCATTTTTTCCTCCCATTGACTCCCATGTTAAAAAACCTTGAAAACTGAACACCTCCTAATCTGAACAGTGAACAACCAGATTTGAAAAACTGACCTGTCTAATCTGAACATTTTATCAGGAATCAAAGGTCTGGACATTTCAATAATAGCCACATATTGAGTCAATGTTATAGTTCTTATTATCTTTACATATGCAATGTAATCAAAGAACCAATATTGTCCTAATTAACTTATTTAAGTCTCAATGACATCCCTAATTGTGGAAAACAACAGGAAAGGTGTGAATACGGGAGTTAATTGGTTTATCCTATTAGAAAAGAACTGAATGTTTTATGTTTGGATTAAGAGAAAGGTGTGAATCAAGAAGATAATTGCTTTATCCTTATTTTAAATTAACTGGATGTTTTTGATTTGGATTATGAATAACAAGTCTTAACTGTTTTATATCCCATGTGTCTGTTATGATAGCTAGGATTCAATCAGTAAATGTTTTATAATCACAGAGACAACAGAGACACATTTGCAGACAAGATTATAATTGTTTTATCATTATTAAAAATTACCTGGATGTTTTTGATTTTGACTAAGAAGATAATTGCTTTATCCTTATTTTAAATTAACTGGATGTTTTTGATTTGGATTATGAACAAGTCTTAACTGTTTTATATCCCATGGGTCTGTTATGACAGCTAGGGTTCAATCAGTAAATGTTTTATAATCTCAAAGACAACACAGACACATTTGCAGACAAGATTATATCATGAGAAAGAGAAAAAATTCAACTTCGTAATATCCTATCACTAAAATGCCTCCTAAAAAGGCACATCTGACATTCTGAATGCCCTTGATATTTTGAAAGATTATGCATCATCTCGAATGAGCACTCATGAAAAATTCTTTTTAATTAAAGAGGGTATCTACTCAAATATTGCTAATGCTAAAAGTGCCAAGAAACAAACAACAATGAACAACTTTTTCAAGCTAAAGTAAAGCAGTGCTATGTAACCATAATATGAGATAAGTCATTTAATAAGCATAAGATTTTGTACAAGACTATCATATACTTATTCCACTGGCGGATTAGGGGGGGGCCCAGGGGCCCGGGCCCCCCCCCCTTGGGTGGGCCCAGAAAAAAAAAATTGGGCCCAAAAAAATTTTTGGGCCAAACAAGCCCTTCAGGCCCCAAAAAGTGGGCCTTTTTGGTCATTACTGGGCCTTTTAAGGCCTTATTTGTTAATTTCAGGCCAAATTTTGAAGAAAATGGGCCTCAAAATTTGGGCCCACTTTTGGATTTTAGGGGCCCAAATTTTTTTTCGCGCAAGCGCAGACGTCTTTTCTCTGACCTGAAATTTGGGCCCCCCCCCTTGTTGGTTCCTGGATCCGCCCCTGTATTCAGTGTATTACAAAGTTTTTGCCAAAATTAAAGAGTTATTTTTCCCAAAATAATGAAATTGTTCAATATGTAAATAAAACATAGCATATACATGTAGGCTATAGGCTTATTGTAGAATAACCTCAGCAACAACATGTATTGTTTTCTGACTAAGTATTAAGTGTTCAATATAGTGGACTGAACAATGATAATCCTCCCCCCCCCGACCAACAATAGTCCCATGGGTGTTCGGATTAGACAGGTTTTACTGTAGTCACATATGCTTGGATATTCCATGTGGGATAACATGAACATTCGATATATCTGATGTATATGGAAATTGTATTTGGGAACTGGATTTGGAATAAGCCCAGATGATCTTGGGA